AAATGCTCTCAAAATACAAAATAAAAAATATTATTGAACAAAAATATATTAGACTGATTTTACTGAAGAAAAAAAAAAGTAAAATTTCAGATGTCCGGTCACTTTTGACCGCGAAGACCATGAGTGTGACTCCCAAATGAGGAGCGCACAAGGGTTAAACCAATTATTTGTATTCTATAATATTTTTAATAAGTGGTATATATAAAAACACATTAAGCCGTCATAAATTTTATACAATGAAAAACAATTGAATGTGTAATTAAAAAATAAACAATCATCTTATTACATAGTTATTTGTTTTTCTTATCTCTAAATCTGTCTTGAAACTTTCTGCCTCATCATGATTGAACTCTGAAACAACTTCTGACTCTATCTATTGAAAAAGCAAAAGTGAATAGGGAATAGTGTCATACTGAAGAAATCAACAGTCCTGAGTAGATTACTTACAAAGTGTTGTCCGTTAATGGTTACAGATTACATGATAAAAATTGTAGTTAGTAACGTAATCTAGGTTACTCGTTTTAGGCAATGTAATCCGACTAGTGCTGTCAAAATTAGTCCGTTAACGCATGCGATTAATTTTTTTCAGTTTAACGCGTTAAAAATATTTAACACAATTATTTGTGTAACAATCTGCTTTCTGTGTTCAGGTTTGAATGTAGTAATAATAATGCAAAAACCTACACTTCAAATCAACATTTAAAACAACAAAAATATAAACCTTGACAAAAAGTAGACATTGAGAATGCCCTAATATACATTTAAATCCACAAACTAATAAAAGTAAACAATTATGTATAAAAACAACTAGGGAATTCACAAGCCTCTCTATAGATACAGGAATCTAGTGATTACACCATGAAATTACAGTTTTTCTTTTTTTGCTCTCACCAGGAGGTGCTATTCTGCCTTCAAAAATTGTTTTTTAAAGGCCTAGTCTCTATTTTAATCTGAAATACTGCATTAATTGAAAAATAATTAGAAAAAATTAGAAAAAAAAGTGTACTATTTTCAATGGGAAAAAATGATCATAATTATTGCATAAATATTAATTAGTACCATGACATTCTCTCAAAATACAAAATAAAAAATATTATTGAACAAAAATATATTAGACTGATTTTACTGAAGAAAAAAAAAAGTAAAATTTCAGATGTCCGGTCACTTTTGACCGCGAAGACCATGAGTGTGACTCCCAAATGAGGAGCGCACAAGGGTTAAACCAATTATTTGTATTCTATAATATTTTTAATAAGTGGTATATATAAAAACACATTAAGCCGTCATAAATTTTATACAATGAAAAACAATTGAATGTGTAATTAAAAAATAAACAATCATCTTATTACATAGTTATTTGTTTTTCTTATCTCTAAATCTGTCTTGAAACTTTCTGCCTCATCATGATTGAACTCTGAAACAACTTCTGACTCTATCTATTGAAAAAGCAAAAGTGAATAGGGAATAGTGTCATACTGAAGAAATCAACAGTCCTGAGTAGATTACTTACAAAGTGTTGTCCGTTAATGGTTACAGATTACATGATAAAAATTGTAGTTAGTAACGTAATCTAGGTTACTCGTTTTAGGCAATGTAATCCGACTAGTGCTGTCAAAATTAGTCCGTTAACGCATGCGATTAATTTTTTTCAGTTTAACGCGTTAAAAATATTTAACACAATTAACGCAGTGGTGGAGCTAGGGTTGGCCACCCCACTCACAACTGCTGCTTCTGTCTCTTTTTTCTTGACAAGAATTGCATTCATTTAGACGCAGAATGTCTTTACGATCACATCAAACGGGAAACTTTTCAGCTCCAACTTCGCCTCAGTGTCAGGCGCTAGTCAAACGAGCGCGGAAAAGGTACAGGTGATGAGGAGCTTCAGTAGAACAACAGTGAACTGTGGTCAGATGAGATGCTGTCAGGCCATATGTCAGTAAAAATTAATTTTCCTGTCCTGTCAGCCGTTATACTGTGATCGTAGCATGTGCTCTTCAATTGCACGCACAAATGCGCCAGCGTGCTGTATATTATTTCATATTAAAGTGCAAATGAAACTACGAGCCTGCAATGTCGTAGATATGTCATCAGTTAAGTCATGAAGTTACCAAAAGGCGATTAAAGCTGCCTTTGTGAATCCCGGTTAATCCCCTAATGGCCCATCAGTATTTGTTATATACGAGTCAGATTTAAGAACGTCTCTGAAATGCAGTGGTTCTCAGAACTGTTCTGGAGCAGCCCAGCACTGTCTCCCTCATCTAACACACCCAATTCAACTTGTCAACTCATTAGTAGAGACTTTAAGACCTGAAGTGTGCCAGAAAAGGTAAAGAGTTGTGAAAAAATATGATGTGTGTCAGATCCGTGTCATGTTCAGCAGCGGCAGCTCTTAAAGCAGCCAAAATAACCTAATAACCCAGCTGCTGTGATGTCTGTTAATCAAAGAGCAAAAGAAAAAAGAGGATAACAACAACTTGTGTAGCTTTAAGGATTCATCTATATTTAATTTAGAATTTGGTGTTTGATAACTTTATGCAATTTCTGCATATTTCCTACTTGCTGAAGGGCACAGGAAAATATGACATTTATTATAATGGGTTTATATGAGGATTGTTTTAAGTTCACTTAAATTAGAAGCTGTTATTTTTTAAAGTCTAATAAATGTTCAAATTGATAGCTCTCAATAATACTGTAATGTTGAATGACTATAGTCAATGGGTAAATATTAGGGGGAAAAATAATATTTCCCATAGACATCAGTACTATTGGTATCAGTGATACTCGCCTTCATTCATAAAAAAAGATGCCATTAAACAAATATTGAAATAATACTGTCTTTATGTTGTTTCTACATTAATTTGAAGATTGAATGTGAAATTATTGCAATATAAAAGTATATTTAAAACATTTAATGTTAGGTGGGATCAATCACGATTAATTAGCAGAAACAAAATTGCAATTAATTAGTTAATTTTTTTAATAGATTGACAGCACTAATTCGGACTACTTTTTAGATTAGTTTTAAATTACTTTTTTTACCTAACTTGTTCTAAATTTACCATATAAAAAAGCAAAAAAAAAGAAAAGATATTCCATTCTTTGATAACAACATCATGAAGTGCATTGAACATTACATTACACCAGGGTTTCCCAAACTGGGGGGTTAATGTAAGAACTGCAGTGGGTTTGTGAGTTGATAAAGCGCTGATAATTAATTAATTCAGTATTAATTAAATCCTAAAACTGTAAAATAAAATAAAAATATTTTAAAATAAAACTGATAAAAATAAAACATTTTCACACAGCTGAACATTTAACCAATAATTTGTATTCTATAATATTTTTTTAATGAGTGGTCTATATAAAAACACATTAAGCCATCATAAATTTTATACAATGCAAATAAATAAGTAAATAAATAGAAATTATAGCAGGTGTGTTTAAAAGTCTCTCTATGTCTTCTCACCTGTGAAGTTTCTGTTGTTATTGATAAGTTCCTCTCATGCCCTGCCAACCTGCTTGTTTCTTGTTCAATCTATTGACAATACAGCAAAAAAGTTAGATCAATAATGAAAGAGAACCCTATAAATTAAGACCTATGTCAGAATGTTAATGCATACCACTTAGTAGCTGTTAATATTTTAAAATACTACATATCCTCCATACTATGGATGATATTGTTACAATTATTTCCCTTTTTTATTGAATTATATCATGTAAAAATGGCAGGGTTAAACTTTTATCCTACTACTAACCTAAACTGCTGCATAACATAACATTTAAGTTCCCTTTCGAAAGGGAACTCAACGCTGCATCCTCTAGAGGGCACTAGGGGAACGCCTCCAGCATGACCGGTGTCTGAAGCATGAATGAAAAAACGACAATGAACTTGACTTTGGCAGGCGGAAGCCTATGACGTAAGCAAATGAGCGACTGCGGGTATAAAAGGAGCACCTGTGGAATACGTCATCCTCTTTTTTGCCTTCAGGGATCCTTGTTTCTGGAGTGTGATTGGTAAGAAAACGATGTCTGTTGTGAGACGCTTTAGGAGATGTGCAGATCCGTGTCAGCGCTATCTGACACCAGATGACGCACACAACCTTTGCGTTATGTGTTTGGGCGAAGAGCACGCGCGTTCTGTTCTCGAGGGAACGGAATGCGTTCATTGTGAGCAGTTCTCAGCGAGAAAGCTCCAATCTCGTTTGTCCCTTTTTTCGAGGGAATTGGGACAATCATCTGCCCCCCGCGGCTCGGGTCCTGCCGCTGCTGAGGCAGCGAGGAGACTGAGATCGTGGGGATCGCAGATGGAGCTTGCTGACGAGTTCGAGAGAGGGGTTAATCTTTCGCACTCGTCGGCGGCTGCCGAGGGTGAACTGCTGGAAGAGGATGTGTTGTCACTTACATCCTCTGATCCAGCAGGAAGTGCTCTGTTGCAAAGTGAGCAGGATCTGGCTGATGAGGGTGGAGAGGATGTTTCTGAGCCTTCTCAGTCTACCTGCCCCGCGTATGATGAGCTGTTGGAGGTTATGGATCGCGCCACTGCGAGGTTAGATCTGCAGTGGAGGTGCGAGAAAGGGGAAATTGTTCGTGGCAGACTGGATGAGCGATTTCTTTCTGGACATAACCGCCCAGCTCCCGTGAGCCTCCCATTCCTTCCAGATCTCCATATTGAGATCGAGAAGGCATGGGATAAACCATATTCAGCCCGCATCCATCAATACCAGCATAAGTCTAATTATGCTGACATCGAGGGGATGCGTGAGCGCGGATAGATTTTAGCAAATGGCTGCAATATAACAAAGAGTGAAAAATTTAAGGGGGTCTGAATACTTTCCGTACCCACTGTAAGTACTATGGATGCAACAATACAGTTAGCCCATGATTTGCGATTTAAAAACAAAAAGTATTAGAAGTATTATTTTTCCTATTTTTACCCAAAATAGGATGGATTGGGCATTATAGAGTGCTATAAAAACATGTAATATCAGTTTCATTCATACTGAAAGCAGGAGGGCGCCTTCGCAGAAACATCTCAGGTTACGCATGTAACCATGGTTCCCTGAAAAAAGGGAACTTGCGCTGCGTGGCACTAGGGGCACTAGGGGAACGCCTCCAGCATGACCGGTGTCTGAAGCATGAATGAAAAAACGACAATGTTGGCAGGCGTGGCAGGTGGAAGCCCATGACGTAAGCAAATGAGCGACTGCGAGTATAAAAGGAGCACCTGTGGAATATGTCATCCTCTTTTTTGTCTTCAGGGATCCTTGTTTCTGGAGTGTGATTGGTAAGAAAACGATGTCTGTTGTGAGACGCTTTAGGAGATGTGCAGATCCGTGTCAGCGCTATCTGACACCAGATGACGCACACAACCTTTGCGTTATGTGTTTGGGCGCGCGTGTTGCGTGTTCTGTTCTCGAGGGAACGGAATGCGTTCATTGTGAGCAGTTCTCAGTGAGAAAGCTCGTTTGTCGTTTGTCCCTTTTTTCGAGGGAATTGGGACAATCATCTGACCCCCGCGGCTCGGGTCCTGCCGCTGCTGAGGCAGCGAGGAGACTGAGATCGTGGGGATCGCAGATGGAGCTGGCTGACGAGTTCGAGAGAGGGGTTAATCTTTCGCACTCGTCGGCGGCTGCCGAGGGTGAACTGCTGGAAGAGGATGTGTTGTCACTTACATCCTCTGATCCAGCAGGAAGTGCTCTGTTGCAAGGTGAGCAGGATCTGGCTGATGAGGGTGTAGAGGATGTTTCTGAGCATTCTCAGTCTACCTGCCCCGCGTATGATGAGCTGCTGGAGGTTATGGATTGCGCCACTGCGAGGTTAGATCTGCAGTGGGGGTGCGAGATAGGGGAAATTGTTCGTGGCAGACTCGATGAGCAATTTCTTTCCGGACATAACCGCCCAGCTCCCGTGAGCCTCCCATTCCTTCCAGATCTCCATATTGAGATCGAGAAGGCATGGGATAAACCATATTCAGCCCGCATCCATCAGTACCAGCATAATTCTAATTATGCTAACATCGAGGGGATGCGTGAGCGCGGATATGCGTCGATGCCCCCTATTGAAGAGATGCTTGCGAGCTATCTCTCGGCTGGGGTGACATCGACGTTGAAGGCTCCAGCCCTGCCATCCAAGCCAATGAAGGAGACTTCACGCTTGAATGGTAGGGCAGGTCAGGCTGGTGCTGCTTTGCATACGACGGCAGTATTGCAGGCGTACCAGGCTGATTTGCTGAAAGACCTAGACCAGGGTCAGGGGCTTTCCCCTGAGGCGGTGACCGAGCTGCGCCGCACCACAGATCTGGCGCTCAGGGCCACCAAGCAGACAGCTGCTGCGATCGGCAGGTCTATGGAGGCGATGGTGGCCACTGAGAGACATCTGTGGGTGAACTTGGTGGACATCGGGGAGAAAGAGAAACGCTTTCTTCTCGATACGCCGGTTTCGCCTTCTGAGTTGTTCGGCACATCCGTTGAGACGGTGGTCGGTAAATTCAGGGAGGCGAAGGCGCGCTCGGCGGCTTATAAGTCTTTTATACCGCGCCGGTCTATGTCTGCACCCAAACATGAGGGGGATCCTGGCCCATCCCGGTCTGCGGATCGGAGACAGGGCCAGGCGGTGAGTGTGGCCACTCGTGGTCCTCCTCCTCCTCCGAGTAGATCACAGAGGAGGCGGGAGTTCAGAGACAGGAGAAGGGATCTAAGGGGAAAGATCCAGCGCGGACGCGGCAAACAGCCATCTGGAGCTGGTACTTGAACCTGAAACCCTCCTTCTCCACCCCACCCCCACCACCGTGTGCACTTGAGAGTGGACCCTGATGCTGGACCAATGATGAGGATTCTTTCTGAGGGTCTGGAATCGGGTTTCATTATAAGTGTATCTTTAGTGAGTGAGTATTGCTAGATTTCCTCTCGTTTTAGAGAGTTATTATGCTGAGATCGAGTGTTGTTAGGCTTCCTCTCGTTTAAGAGAGTCATTCTGCTGAAGCCTCCACTTTGCATAGCTCCGTTTAGGCAGTATTAATGTGTAGGCTCTTGAGCCTCACTAACTGCCCCTGGCGTTGAGTGTAGCCAGGTCTCCTCTCATTCTAGAGAGTCGTTATGCTGAGACCTCCACTCTTAGAGTTCCGACTTTGGTAGGTGAGCTAGTCTACGACGCTGGCGAGTTTTGAGCCTGCCTGTAGAGGTTTGTGGCTCGGGTCCTGGCAAAAGCGATTTGGCTAGGGCAGGGATGGTGTTCCTTGAGTCCTTGATTTAAGGAATCCAGTTTTTGGGCACTCATCCCTCAGCATGGCGGCGTGGGTAGACCGTTCCCCTAGCGCCCTCTAGAGGACGCAGCGTTGAGTTCACTTTTGAAAGGGAACATCTCAGGTTACGCATGTAACCATGGTTCCCTGAGAACAGGGAACAAGACGCTGCGTCTCATTGCCATGCTTCGGGCGTCATACCTGTGCCTCCTCAGACAAAAAAGAGGATGACGTATTCCACAGGTGCTCCTTTTATACCCACAGTCACTCATTTGCTTACGTCATAGGCTTCCGCCTGCCAATGTCAAGCTCATTGTCGTTTTTTCATTCATGCTTCAGACACCGGTCACGCTGGAGGCGTTCCCCTAGCGCCCTCTAGAGGATGCAGCGTCTCGTTCCCTGTTCTCAGGGAACCATGGTTACATGCGTAACCTGAGACGTTATAATAGCAACTTGTTATGACTGTCAGTGTATTTATAAAATGAAAATGTTTTCTATTCTATAATATTTATAATAATATATAGCATTAACATAGTAAAAGTAAGCCTGGTCCAGAAATATGTAATCCATGCAAATTCAAATTCAACATTAACAATTCACCATATTATTCTAATGTGACGGACTCACACAACTGTTTGCACGACGCATCTGTAAAAATAAAAGACATTACAAAAGAGTGAAAATATTAGGGGTCCTATACAAAACGCCACAACCACTGAACACTGAACCACTGAACGTTACAACCAGGGCTCGAATTGAGAGGGAATGCGGGGGGATGGCATCCGCCTGGTTGAAAAAAAACGACAAAAAGCATCCCCCCTAACCATCCCCTTTAGATTAATAATAATGTTGTGTATTATGTAAAATTTATTGTGCAAATTAAATGTTAAAATTCTCTGCTTAATATAATTCACGAACTAAATAACGGCAACTGGCCAATCAGAACTCTGTACTGTAACAAGCTGCCACAAGCTGAAGCAAGTTTCCGTCATTTTTCGTGAAAAATTGTTCAAGCGCAACTTTGAAGTTCTTTAAAAAGAAGACAACAGAAGGTATGATTTTTCCTTGATTAGACATTCTCCTGACATAATGTCATTGTGCTGTATGTGTGACTGTGAGGGACTGAGAGACGATAGGAGAGCTGACGAGTGTCAACGACTTTGCAAAAAACAAACAAAAACACCTCTTGAAAGTCCAGAAGCATTCACTCACTGCGCCATGAAGCCCATTAGAATGCCGTTAGAATCATATGGTTAGTATGGCCTTGTAATTCAAGCAATGAAAGAAAAAATACCCATGTATGAGTTTTTATGTTTTTATATTCATTGCACAATCAATGTACTTTTCTGAATATCAGCACATAAATATGCTAATAATTTTATACAACAGTGTAGAGCAACCCGGTGTTTCATTCCTTGAATGAATCTGTTTTTGAACGAATCATGTGAACCAGTGATTCAACAGTCCATTCACTTGTTTCGTTTCTAACTGAATCAGCTGTTTTGAATGAATCGTTTGATTTGAATGATTCAATAAATCATTTATTAAAACAGGGATTTTCTGCCACCTACTGGCGGTTTAATTGTCATCTTTATTCATCCATGACAGTCCTAAACCAGCCAAGGTGCCAGCACAAAAACACATTCAGCAAAATATTGTTTAATTAGCAACATTGACCCAAATTCCTCCATTTCAGGCCCCAGAATAAAAATAAAGCTTAAAAATAATATATTTTTTAATAAGGTTAATTTCTTATTAAATAAAAACCTTTTTAGACAAATTTTGTAATCATTGTGTAAAATTAGCTACGCCAAAAGCCCCCCCACATAATCACACAGATGGGACACCTAGCCCAGTACAGGGACTGGCCAGAGCTCCAATCTTTCTTGCAGGAAAGAGAACAAGACACCGATTGGGCATCTTCGGGGGTCTTCCCGGCGAGAACACCAGTCAGCGAACAGACTGCACTTCAAGGCATAAGCTTGCCTGGTAAAGGGAGCTCTGGCTTGAGTGATAGTGTCTACCACCGCCTCTGGCAAAACACTCAGGTCTGCTGTGTCCCATCCAGGAACCACACATGGAGGTTCCAGAGATCTGGATGCGGGTGCCATATGGTGCCCTGCCCCTGAGAAAGAAGGTCCTTCCTCAGGGGGATCCGCCAGTGAGGGGCTGTCGTGAGGAGTATGAGTTCCTCCCCCAGAATGTGCATAGCGTGCACTTGACTTGAGCCAAGTCTGACTCAAGAGGAGGAGATGCCGGGTGAGTTGCGACATGCGATGTGATCATATACCTCCCCTGACGGTTGATGTACGATACAGCCGCAGTGTTGTCCATAGGGACCAACACGTGTTTGCCCTGCAGCAGCGGCCGTAACCGCCGCAGAGCTAGAAGCAATGCGAGCAACTCCAGGCAGTTGCTGTGCCAAAGCAGTCGAGGCCCCGTCCAGGACCCCGAGGCTGCCTGCCCATTGCATGTAGCACCCCAATCTGTCCTGGAGGCATCTGTCATGACAACAACATGCCGGGACACTTGTTCTAAGGGCACTCCGGCCCGTAGGTCATGTGATGTGTGCCACGGCGCCATGCCCATCTCGGGACTCGGCTGTGTAACCAATGCTGAAGTGGCCTCATATGGAGCAATCCAGGCGGCGTGACTGCTGCGGATGCCATATGCCCCAGGAGCCTCTGAAATTGCTTCAGTGGTACCAATTCAATTCAATTCAAGTTTATTTGTATAGTGTTTTTTACGATACAAATCGTTGCAAAGCAACTTTACAG